ATGCTTCTAGCATCATAGGGGATGCTTGTAGCATCCTATGGCATGCTTCTAGCATCATAGGGGATGCTTGTAGTCTCGCAGACAATACCTGCCGATATTAGATGATTCTAGTGGCATTCCAGTCGTTAACTAATTGAGTACTTGAATACTCGAATAGTTGGATTGTTGAATAGTTGAATACTCGAATAGTTGTATTGTTGAATAGTTGAATACTTGAATTCTTGAATAGTTGAATAGTTGAATACTTGAATATTTGAATACTTGAATAGTTGAATACTTGAACTAATAGTTGAATACTTGAATTCAACTTTCAAGTTTGACACTACTGAAAACTACTTATAATAGAAAAGAGTTCATGGACAGACTGAGTGAAAGCGGAGCGGCTAGTGACTATTGCAGAGAAGATCTCGACGAAATTATCCAACAACTGAAAGCATCTCGTGGCTATAGCGAAAAAGGGATAAAGAACCTCATTAACTTCATAAGAAAACATCATTCCTACAACAAATCACAGATTACGAAGATGTTAGAAACACTCAACGTACCAGATCAGTATACGATATTACACTACGGTGCTCTTTTCAACAACGTTGCTTTCTGCAGATGTCTGATCAATGACTTTGGTTGCAGTAAGATTCTTTCACTCTATTTCATTTTTTCGAAAATCTGTTATTTCGTCCAAAAGTAGATAACGAAGCAATCATTGTCACCTTTACATCTTCCTCATCTAAAAAATGTGATAATTTTGACTTAATTTTAATTCGCTTTCACAAATTTATTTATTATAGTTTAAGTAATACTTCGTCTTTCGAAGAAGAATTTTTTCAAACTAACGAAACGATAAACTAAAATAAAATGTACAAATTAACTGATGGCGGAAAAAGAAAAGACACAAGCAGAAAACGAACAAAGTGAACATATAATAGGCCGTAGATTCCTTTTAGTTCAATTTTAATAAAAATTGGCATGAACGATTGATGCAGTGGTTAATGAAGCGATGGTCTGGTTCCGTCCATGATGGTGATAATGACGATCAGGACGCGAACACTCGCAGACTACTTGAATAACAAGGTGTAGGTGTAGAGTGTGGATGTGCGAGTTGATCTTCTCTTGACTAAGAGACACATCCACCCTCAAGATATTGGATAGTGATGAGGATCAGTTGAATAAATTGTTTGAACAGTCAATTAACCATTACCCGTATTGAGAAGAATACTACTATCCATTTCAAAATAGAAGGCGAGTGATTGTGAGTCGAATAACTCGATAACGCAAACAGCCAGCGAGCTTCGGCTTTGACCATTAGAAAAAGGACATTGGGGCACGTAAATCTATGGAAAAATTTCATTGTCAGTAGTTGGCCAATAGGATGAGAACTCGCTGTACATTTTGAATATAACTTTTGAAACGATTTTTTCGTTGGATTTTGGGTGGGTATGAAGGTGAGTATGGGTATGGGTGTGGTGGTGGTGAATAGATAGACTACGGAGAGCTTCATTCACACTCAAACATCAACACTCGCACCCACAGCCGCCCCTCACTCCACGCCTGCATCCACACTATGACCAAAAATGGAGACTGAGGCATATTGATTTTCTGAATATTTTCAAAGCCTTTGTGGAAGATTTTTTCAATGAGATGTCGATTTGCTACACAATGAGTTAGGAGTCTCTTCTTTGTCGTCTCTATTTCTAATGCTCTTCAGAAATTTATCCTAACAGCATCAGTCCTCGAAACGATCAGGATGTTCAGATTGATCTTATTGTAGTGAACGTAAAATTGAAGTTGAGAGCCGCCCAAGAGCAGCTACAATTAATTCTTTTCCTGAAAACAGAAAAATGTTCTCTAAAAAACATGATGTTTTATTTACACAAGGCGTGAACGGAGTTTTTGCAATTCTACTATGCATTTAGTGAGGCACAATATCAAACATCATCTCATACGTAACTAACAGATATCAAAGTAATTACGTCAACTGAACATGCGTCTATGACAGATCTTTATTTTCACAATAAATATTGCACAACATATATAAAAATTTGTTTATATGGTATAGAATTTATTAACAATGTCCATGATGACCTCCAAAATGATGACCTCCACCAAAGCCACCGTGATGGTGATCGAATCCAAATCCATGATGCGCATGATGATGATGATGATCACCAAATCCAAATCCTGGGCTTATATGATGATGATGGTGTGGACCAAAGTGATGAGGATGGTGATGTGCTCCAAAATGTGGATGGTGATGGTGATAATGTGAATAACCACTGCCCATATTTGCTTGAAAAATTAGTTGTATATGATAGTTTTGTCTAGTAACTGATATAAACTAGAATTGCAAGAGTTCTATATATATATATAATCACAAAACAGAAAGAATGACATCATGTGTCGCCCCCCCTGAAAACAAAATATTAGTCACATTTTTTTTTGCAGAAAGAAAAAGCAACAGTAACACAAAATGGTTGCTGTAGAAAGTATAGAAGAGTTGACTCATAATTTACATACGAAATAGAATGACGACAATAGTTTGACGTGTGATGATGAATTTTTAGCACCTTTCCCTTTCATCTAACGTCAATAAATTAACTTTCAGTGTGACTTACGTAAATAAACTTGATATAACATGTAAAAAAATATATTATATTTTTTTTGATAAAATAAATTATGACGTAGATTTGTTTGGTGTAAGGCTAATGAATCTTAAAAGTACATCTGTTTTACAACAGAATTATTTTATAAAAAAAAAAAAGAATTATCAAAAACATTCATCCGTCATATCATGTAATAAAAAAGATGAATATTAGACTTAGTAAATACTTTCTCTATTATTGCAGTAATATAAATAATTTTTACAATTGAATAGCAATGAAAGTGGATATGTTTCAGGTATTTGTTCTATAGGAATTGTTAGGAATATGATGAGAAAAAAATTTCTTTTTATTCATTCGGGTATATCATGACCTTATTTCTAATGTGAATTGCATTCATTAATATTTGTGTAGACCTTTTTCAACATATACTCAACTTCATGAGAAAAATGGCTGTTTGCATCCTATAATATACTTAGCTGAATTTCTCACAATAGAGTAGAATTTGTCAAATAGTTAGAAAAAGTTGATACCGTCAATGAAAACAACATCATTAAAACTTACGGTTTCTGAATTATAGAGAGAGAATATCCACTAGTATTAAATCGTTTGATTCGGATATGTTGATCACCAATATTCGTCCAGCTGGCCAACAGCCAGTCTTTAATTCAACTTTAAAAAATTGAACCTTTCAATAGCTCGAACATATATCTTGACTTTCTCAAATTTTTTAAAAGTCATCCGGATGTACGTAGAGCAGATATTGTTGTACAATACAAAATGTCAATCACTTAATATTAATATGAGTGAAGGATAGAATGTATAACATGACCTCTTTTGATCAATTTTACTATTGGTTAATCTTTTTTTTTCTTTTTTCTAATCAAATTCTTCCTTTCTTCTATTCTACTTTCAGGATGAATAAATAGATTGTTTGTTAATTCAACTTTTTTATTACATCAATGATAAAGTCTTTTATTTTTTTTATTTCAGATGAGCAAAATTCAAGTAACATTAATTAAATTGTTTAGTAAAAATAGAGTATCAATAACAGAACATGCTCCATTTTTATCTTGAGTATAATCGTCGGAACGTGGTTTATATTCACATGAAAATAATACTATACTGCAACTAATATTACCAGTTGATTTAGACTTTGAAATCATTGGTGAAGATAAAAGTCATAAATTATCGAATTTGTTAAGTGATCATAATTATACTTCTGTCATTGATGAAGGTTGTGAAAAATGATTTTTAACATCCACTAGGATAAAACATCGTACACAATATCCACCTCAATGGGAGAAGATGAAATTGCTGACATAATAATTCTTTGTGCAGGAAAGGAAAATGTATGATGCAGTCGTGAGATGAAAATATTTTCACTTGATAAGATCAAGCAACATAAAGACAAAAATGAAATTCACAAACAAGCTCAACAACAAAAGTTGTTAATATCTTCTGGATCACAACCAGATTGGTATATGACACGAGAAAAAGAGATTGAGAAGCACGAGCAGACAACTCAAAATTTGATACTCTCATGTATTTATATGTACCAACAAGACAATCTATCATCATCAATTGAACGTTTGTGCATCTTTCTGGAAAAATTAGATGCACAAATACTACCTACTTAAGTGTTTAGTATATCGTATCGTAATAGTGAAGCTGCCATAAGATTTGTACAACAATATATCTTCTTTTCTACATGAGGGGCTAATAAAAAAAATACAACCTAGTCCAGTTGCCGGTATGTCAAACTTTACAAATTATGTTTATTTAATGTGGCATTGTATTCTTTTGTTGCAGGCTGGATGCTAAATGAAACAACTTCTCGTATAGTCGAGAAAAGTTGCATCTTATTTGCCAGATATATCAATAATTTTGAACCCAACACAGTTTATTATGGTTTAATTGATCTTGAAGGTGATGGCACAACAAGTAACATCGTTAAATCAATTAGTTCTCCATGGAAAAAAGATGATATAAGTGCATCAAAAAGTTGTTGGTTGGCGACAGACAATAACAGCACGTTCACTGGTGAGCATTCTATTATTATACAATAAAGTAATTGATAATGTGATATTCAATACTTTCGGAAATACGTAAAGGTGTTCTAGCTAAAATACATCGTGAATTTAGTTGAAATTGAATTCTTGTGCTACCCCTGTATTTTCTTTAGTAGGTAATCATGCTTGTTACAAGTTGAAGTTTCATCGTATGTAGTATTTTCTGCATTAATAATTTAATAGTTTGATTTTTTATGTTCGTTACACAACTTTTTATGATATTGTCTTTTGTATTTTTAGTTCTCTGCTGTTAATCATATTCAAGCAACGGAAGATCACGTTTAAAGATTCCTATGTTAGATATTTTAATGACCGTACGAATGTTGTTACAAAACGGTTTAAGAAGATAAAGTGAAAATTTATTGTGGTGTTCAATATGTCTATTTTTTTAGTCCGAGATGTCAACAAGTTGTTAATAAAGCTTTTGAGTCTTGCAACGACAGGGATCACAATCGTCGTCTTTACCAAATATAATTATTACTCGACGTTACAGATGATTATGCAGCAACAAATCAAGTTCGTTCCGTTTCCAAGTGAAATCGAGATTATCTTCAATCAGAATTTGTGAAGAAGAAACAGCAAAGAAAAATCGAAATATGTAACATATAAGTTAGAGCTTCTACTGTTTCTAGTTATTTGTGATCAATCTTGTAGGTGCTAATGGTTGTAAACGAGAAATTTCTGAAACTAATTCAAGTGAAAATGAACAATTTCAATGGATTAATTCTTAACAGAATTGCTCTAGATATATATACAATTACTATAGCATCAAATTCGGTATAGAAGTTGATTCAATATAGTTCTGTGATGATCATGTAGATACGCATCATGAAGAAGATGAAGATGACAATTTTGACTGATTTTTGCTAATGTTTCTTTTAATCAAGTCGTAAAATCTTTACTTTTTTATGCATTTTTTTTGCTAAAGTAGAATGTTGATATGTGCTTTTTTTCTCAAATATACTCTTACTCATGCCAGATTAAGAAATAATCGTGTGTATATTTGTTGTGTATTTAATCTTATACTTTGATTTTATATTTTTGATCAGCTATAAAAATGAACACGTTTATTTTCCACGATTATATGACAAACTTCAATCTCTACACTTTGGCATCCTTTACATGCGAAAGTTAAGTGCACACGTATTTTTCTGATTGTTTCACTCACCAGACAAATTTAACTGTTATATACTATATGATCATTAATGGAATAATATCCTTTGGTTTATCGATATCTATAATATATCGATATTTACTTTTTTTTCTTGATCTTTGTTTGCTCTTCTCAAGATAAGAAAGAACAGAAAAGAAAAAAAACTGTTGAAATGAATCACCGTGGGAAGAAAAAAAATGGTGGATAGATGAGGTCGGCTGATTCCTTTTTTTTTGCAAATATTGTAGATGACATCAAACTTGACAACTGATATTGAAAGTCTCTGCACATTATTCGACAAGCATACAGATTTGACAACAAAAAAAACAGATGATGAAATAGAATTTAAAAATTCGTCGTTGTAAGTGGTTTCATTGTTATAATTTTTTTTGTGTATGCAATCTATTTCCTCATTACATTTTAATTTAATTTAATTTAATAGTAATGTCCAATCACGTCGCCCTTTAACTATTTCAACTCTTGCACATTATTTTGGTCTTCAATGTGATGAATTTCTTCGTTTATCTCTGAATCCTCATATTGAATCAAAACATTCTGACACTTTAAAAAATTCTTTAACAAAACAACGTGGTATATCATTTGAAGATAGTATAAAATCGTATCATTCATCATCAATTTTATCTGATATACATGATGAACATGAATTTTTATCATATCTTCGTTCATCAATATTAAAACCAACTGAATCTCGAATTGGTTATAATATAAAATTTCAATGGAAATATGATGAACATATTCAGAGTCATTATAAACCAGATTTTCTTTTAATTAAATATTTAAATAATAATGAAAATCGAATTGAAATAACAATAGCAGATGCAAAATCTTCACCTCGTATACGTATTGAACATTGTATTCAATTAACACTTTATGCAATTGATTTAACAGTTTGGATTGAACGAAATAAACTTAATCAATACGTTTTTATAAATGATATAGGTGAAATTTGGTTACCAAGTGAAAATAAAACAATACCATATGAAAAAAAGTTTTTTCCATTGAGAAAATTACAAGAAAGACTTAAAAATTTTCTTAAATATGATCTTGAAAAAATATTGAAAGGTAAATTTATAAAAAAAAATTGTTTAGAAATAATTCTTTTTTTTGTTGATTATTTAGGTTCTGAATGGATAATGTTACCACGTTGTTCACTTTGTCCATTTGCATCTCGTTGTCGTCAAAGAGCGATTCTTCATGAACCTGAATCAATAAATAATTTATCTTATTTAACTCCATCAGCTCATTCATTAATTCAGTCATTTTTTCATTCATCATTACTTTCATCAATTAATATTCAACTTATTCTTGATCATTCAAATAATGATGATCATTATTCAAATGATAAAATGAGATTAAAACGAATCTTATCAATAAATATAGAAGATAAAACAAGTGCTGTTATTCAAGCACTTCAAACACATGAACCACAATTAAAACA